CACGGAGCAGCTGCGCCCGTGAGCCATGGCTGCTGAGCCTGTGCGTCCGGAGCCTGTGCTCCGCAACGGGAGAGGCCACAACAGTGAGAGGCCCGCGTACTGCAAAAAAATAAAATAAAAAATCTTCCAACAGGGGGCTTCCCTGGTGGCACAGTGGTTGAGAGTCCACCTGCCGATGCAGGGGACACGGGTTCGTGCCCCGGTCAGGGAAGATCCCACATGCCGTGGAGCAGCTAGGCCCATGAGCCATGACCACTGAGCCTGCGCATCCGGAGCCTGTGCTCTGCAATGGGAGAGGCCACAACAGTGAGATGCCCACATACCGCAAAAAAAAAAAAAAAAAAAAAAATCTTCCAGCAAACAAAAGCCCAGGGCCAGATGGCTTCACAGAAGTCTATTAAACATTTAGAGAAGAGCTAACACCGATGCTTCTCAAACTCTTCCAAAAAACTGCAGACAGGAAAACTCCCAAACTCATTCTATGAGGTCACCATCACCTTGATACCAAAACCAGACAAAGATACTACAAAAAAAGAAAATTACAGACCAATATCACTGATGAACACAGATGCAAAAATCCTCAACAAAATACTAGCAAACAGAATTCAACAACACAGTAAAAGGATCATACACCATGATCAAGTGGGATTTATCCCAGGGATGTAAGGATTCTTCAATATATGCAAATCAATTAATGTGATACACCATATTAACAAATTGAAGGAGAAAAACCATATGATAATCTCAAGAGATGCAGAAAAAGCTTTCAACAAAATTCAACACGCATTTATGATAAAAACTTTCCAGAAAGTAGGCATAGAGGGAAACTACCTCAACATAATAAAGGCCATATATGACAAACCGACAGCAAACATTATTCTCAATGGTAAAAAAACTGAAAGCAAGTCATCTAAGATCAGGAAGAGGACAAGGATGTCCAGTCTCACTGCTATTATTCAACATAGTTTTGGAACTCCTAGCCACAGCAATCAGAGAAGAAAAAGAAATAAAAGGAATCCAAATTGGAAAAGAAGAAGTAAAACTGTCACTGTTTGCAGATGACATGATACTATACACAGAAAATCCTAAAGATGCCACCAGAAAACTACTACAGCTAATCAATGAATTTAGTAAAGTCACAGGATACAAAATTAATACACAGAAATCTCTTGAATTCCTATACACTAACAACAAAAAAATCAGAAAGAGAAATTAAGGAAACAATCCCATTTACCATTGCAACAAAAAGAATAAAATACATAGGAATAAACCTAACTAATGAGGCAAAGGACCTGTATGCAGAAAACTGTAAGACACTGATGAAAAATATCAAAGATGACACAAACAGATGGAGAGATATATCATGTTCTTGGAGTGGAAGAATCAACACTGTGAAAATGACTATACTACCCAAAGCAATCTACAGATTCAATGCAATCCCTATCGAATTACCAATGGCATTTTTCACAGAACTAGAACAAAAATTTTTACAATTTGTATGGAAACACAGAAGACCCTGAATAGCCAAAGCAATCTTGAGAAAGAAAAATGGAGCTGAAGGAATCAGGCTCTCTGACTTCAGACTATACTGCAAAGCTACAGTAATCAAGACAGTATGGTACTGGCACAAAAACAGAAATATAGATCAATGGAACTGAATAGAAAAGCCGAGAGATAAACCCAAGCATCTACGGTGACCTAATATATGAAAAAGGAGGCAAGAACATACAATGGAGAAAAGACAATCTCTTCAATAAGTGGTTCTGGGAAAACTGGACAGCTACATGTAAAAGAATGAAATTAGAACACTCCCTAACACCATACACAAAAATAAACTCAAAATGGATTAAAAGACCTAAATGTAAGGCCAGACACGATAAAACTCTTAGAAGAAAACATGGGGACTTCCTTGGTGGCACAGTGGTTAAGAATCTGCCTGCCAATGTAGGGGACACGGGTTTGAGCCCTGGTCCGGGAAGATCCCACATGCTGCAGAGAAACTAAGCCCATGTGCCACAGCTACAGAGCCTCTGCTCTAGAGCCCACAAGCCACAACTGCTGAAGCCCGCACGTGTAAAGCCCGTGCTCCACAACAAGCGAAGCCACTGCAATGAGAAGGCCAAGCACCGCAAAGAAGAGTAGCCCCTGCTCACTACAACTAGAGAAAGCCTGCGCGCAGCAGTGAAGACCCAACACAGCCAAAAATAAATTATTTTTTTAAAAAAGAAGAAAACATAGAACACTATTTGACATAAATTGCAGCAAGATCCTTTTTGACCCACCACCTAGAGTAATGAAAATAAAAACAAAAATAAATAAATGGGACCCAATTAAACTTAAAAGCTTTTGCACAGCAAAGGAAACCATAAACAAGATGAAAAGACAACTCTCAGAAAGGGCGAAAATATTTGCAAATGAATCAAACGACAAAGGATTAATCTCTAAAATATACAAGCAGCTCATGCAGCTCAATACCAAAAACTCAAACAACCCAATCGAAAGATGGGCAGAAGACCTAAATAGACATTTCTTCAAAGAAGACACACAGATGGCCAAGAGGCACATGAAAAGATGCTCAACATCACTGATTATTAAAAAAATGCAAAACAAGACTACAATTAGGTATCACCTCACATCATCAGTAAGTCTACAAACAATAAATGCTGGAGTGGGTGTGGAGAAAAGGGAATCCTCTGGCCCTGTAGGTGGGAATGTAAATTGATACAGCCACTACGGAGAACAGTATAGAGGGTGCTTAAAAAACTAAAAACAGAATTACCATATGACCCAGCAATCCCTCAGGGCATATACCCTGAGAAAACCAAAATTCAAAAAGACACATGCACCCCAATGTTCATTGCAGCTCTATTTACAATAGCCAGGACATGGAAATAACCTAAATGTCCATCGAAAGACGAATAGATTAAAAAAAAGTGGTACATACATACAATGGAATATTACTCGGCCATAAGAAGGAATGAAATTGGGTCATTTGTAGAGACATGGACAGACCTAGAGACTGTCATACAGAGTGAAGTAAGTCAGAGAGAGAAAAACAAATATCGTATATTAATGCATATATGTGGAATGTAGAAAAATGGTACAGATGAACCAGTTTGCAAGGCAGAAATAGAGACAGATGTAGAGGACAAATGTATGGACACCAAGGGGGGAAGGGGGTGGTGAATTGGGAGATTGGGATTAACATTTATACACTAATACAGGGGTCCCCAACCCCTGGGTCATGGACCAGTACCGATCTGCAGCCTGTTAGGAACTGGGCCCCACAGCAGGAGGTGAGCAGTCGGTGAGCGAGCAAACCTTCATCTGCCACTCCCCATTGTGCACATTACCGCCTGAACCATCCCCCCTGTCCTGTGGAAAAATTGTCTTCCATGAAATCGGTCCCTGGTGCCAGAAAGGTTGGGGACTGCTGCACTGATATGTATAAAATAGATAACTAATGAGAACCTGCTGTATAGCATAGGGAACTCCACTTCGCTGTACAATAAAAACTAACACAACACTGTAAAACAACTATACCCCAATTAAAAACAAAAAACAGAACCACAATGAGGTATCACCTCACACCGGTCAGAATGGCCATCATCAAAAAATCTACAAACAATAAATGCTGGAGAGGGCACTTCCCTGGTGGCGCAGTAGTTAAGAATCCACCTGCCAATGCAGGGGACATGGGTTCGACCCCTGGTCCAGGAAGATTCCACATGCCACAGAGCAACTAAGCCCATGTGCTACAACTACTGAGCCTGCACTCTAGAGCCCACGAGCCACACTACTGAGCCCCCGTGCCACAACTACTGAAGCCCGTGTGCCTAGAGCCCATGCTCTGCAACAAGAGAAGCCACCTCAATGAGAAGCCCACACACCACAACCAAGAGTAGCCCCCGCTCGACCCAACTAGAGAAAGCCTGTAGGCAGCAACAAAGACCCAATGCAGCCATAAATAAATAAATAAAAATTTAAAAAGAAAACAATAAATGCTGGAGAGGGTGTGGAGAAAAGGGAACCCTCTGGCACCGTTTGTGGGAATGTAAATTGATACAGCCACTATGGAGAACAGTATGGAGGTTCCTTCCTTAAAAAACTAAAAACAGAACTACCATATGACCCAGCAATCCCACTACTGGGCATATACCCTGAGAAAACCATTATTCAAAAAGATACATGTACCCCAATGTTCACTGCAGCTCTATTTACAATAGTCAGGACATGCAAACAACCTAAATGTCCATCAACAGATGAATGGATAAAGAAGATGTGGTACATAAATACAATGGAGTATTACTAAGCCATAAAAAGGAACAAAATTGGGTCATTTGTAGTGATGTGGATGAACCTAGAATCAGTCATACAGAGTGAAGTAAGTCAGAAAGAGAAAAACAAATACCGTATATTAATGCATATATATGGAATCTAGAAAAATGGTACTGATGAACCTATTTGCAGGGCTGGAAAAGAGACACAGATGTAGAGAATGGATTTGCAGACGTGGGAGTGTGGGGAAGGGGAGGGTGGGACAAACTGAGAGAGCAGCAGTGACATATATACACTACTGTGTGTAAAATAGCTAGTGGGAAGCTGCTGTATAGCACAGGGAGCTCAGCTCGGTGCTCTGTGATGACCTAGAGCAGTGGGATGCAGGGGGTGAGAGGGAGGCTCAAGAGGGAGGGGGTATTGTATACATATAGCTGATTCACTTTGTTGTACAGCAGAAACTAACCCAACATTGTAAAGCAATTATACTCCAATAAAAAAATATGTATTATAGGGCTTCCCTGGTGGCGCAGTGGTTGAGAGTCCGCCTGCTGATGCAGGGGACACGGGTTCGTGCCCTGGTCCGGGAAGATCCCACATGCCGCGGAGCGGCTGGGCCCATGAGCCATGGCCGCTGGGCCTGCGCGTCCGGAGCCTGTGCTCCGCAGCAGGAGGGACCGCAACAGTGAGAGGCCCAAGTACCACAAAAAAAATAAAAATTAAAAAATTAAAAATAAAATAAAGTAACAATAGATATTTTTTAAAATGTATTATGCTTTGGAATATAAAGTTGTCGTAATTGCAGTTCAAATTCCCAGAAAAGATGCTGAAATGATATAAAGTGAGTGAATTTGACCAGGGACTTGATAGCTAAGTTAAAGGAAAAGTCACAGGTTATAGTGAAATGAAATAATGTCGAAGTATACCACAATCTAATTGCAGTAATCACATAACATTATTTACTCTGTTATACAAAGTAGGTTTTTATTTTTAATAAATACTGCTTTTTTTTTTGCTATAAAACAAAGTAAAGGAACACTTATATCAAGGTTGTAGAATTCAGGCCACTCTAGGGAGTGTTTGGAGAAGTCTTTTTTTTTTTTTTTTAATCAAACCCTCACCCCTTGCCGTGGAAGGGTGGAGTCTTAACCATTGGACCGCCAGGGAAGTCCCTGGCAGAAGTCTTTGAGGGAGTCAGTTGGAGGAGGTTTAGGCCATTTAACTTTTTTTTTTTTTTTAAGAGAGATGCTGATAACTCAATCCCCTTTTATCAGTGTAAATTTCTTTGTAGCAAACATAGATAGGCATTAGAGGCCAAGTCTTTGCCCTTTCATGGTTGAAATCCTTTTCCTCAAAATTGACTGGATATATTTAATAGTTTGCTGCCTTCGATAAGTATATGTTTTTAACTTAGGTAAATATTTGTCAATTTAATTTATTATAAAATCTAGGGTTGGACTTCCCTTGTGGCACAGTGTTTAGGAATCTACCTGGGCTTCCCTGGTGGCGCAGTGGTTGAGAGTCCGCCTGCCAATGCAGGGGACATGGGTTCATGCCCCGGTCCGGGAAGATCCCACATGCCGCGGAGCGGCTAGGCCCGTGAGCCATGGCCACTGAGCCTGTGCATCCGGAGCCTGTGCTCCGCAACGGGAGAGGCCACAACAGTGAGAGGCCCACGTACCACAAAAAAAAGAAAAAAAAAAGAATCTACCTGCCAATACAGGGGACACAGGTTCGAGCCCTGGTCCGGGAACATTCCACATGCCACAGAGCAACTAAGCCTGTGTGCCACAGCTACTAAGCCCACATTCTGCAACTACTGAAGCCCACGCGCTCTAGGGCTCACCTGCCGCAACTACTGAGCCCGTGTGCTGCAACTACTGAAGCCCACAAGCCTAGAGCCTGTGCTCCGCAACAACAGAAGCCACTGCAATGAGAAGCCCATGCACCGCAACGAAGAGTAGCCCCTGTTCACCGCAACTAGAGAAAGCCCGCACTCAGCAATGAAGACCCAGTGCAGCCAAAAAAAGAAAAAAAAGAAAAATCTAGGGTTACCTATGTATATAACATACACAGCCTTGCTGTTTCCTTAATATCTAGTATTTATTGAGTATCTACTATGCATAAGAAACTGTAAAAGTAATGACATTCATTCATTCAGCAAATATTTATCGAAGGCCTTTTATATGCCAAGCATTACTAGGAGGAGTGACAAACAAGGCAGAGTTATATCTCTTGTGGAACTTGGATATTAATGTCATCCTGTGAGATTGGTACTTACCTAAAGTTATGTGAGTATTAATAACTAGGGATCTCAGATATAAACCTAACCTCTAACCATTCAATATGAAATAGTAGCAAATCCCCGCCCAACACACTCCTTTATCAAACGTGAAGGGGAGACTCTGTCTCTTTTGTGCTTTTCTGTATCCCCACAGTCTAGGGCAGTGCTCACCTGGTTTAAAGGAGTGCTCTATAATGTTTGTTAAAATGAATGAGGGTCTGGGGTTCAAACTCACTAAGGCACAGAGAGGTTTGATACTTTGCCTAAGGTTAAATGGTAAATAACAAAACTAGGGTTCTGACCTAGGTCTGATCAACTCCAAAGTTTGTGGTCTTAGCCACCAGAGTGTACCTTCTGTCTTGCGTGTGTTACAAAGTCTGAAAAGCTTTTTTCATTGAATCTTTCTGCACTCAACATCAAAGGTTTAAAAAGTTCTATGTAGGGCTTCCCTGGTGGCGCAGTGGTTGAGAGTCTGCCTACTGATGCAGGGGACACGGGTTCGTGCCCCGGTCCGGGAAGATCCCACATGCCACGGAGCGGCTGGGCCCGTGAGCCATGGCCGCTGAGTCTGCGCGTCTGGAGCCTGTGCTCCGCAGCGGGAGAGGCCACAACAGTGAGAGGCCCGCGTACCGCAAAAAAAAAAAAAAAAAAAAAGTCCTATTTAAATGTGTCCACTAGATGGCAACCTCCATTTCAAAATCACGGAAGTTTTACAAACTTTTTAAAATATAGAAAACTACAGAACTTAACATATCAAATCCTGTACATGCACAATCCATAATTAATAACTGTTAACATTTTGTTGCCTTTACTTCAGATCATTTTCTGAAGAGGAAGGATGTACAGATAAATTCCTCACCTTTCTTTCCCTCTTCCAATTTCCCTCCCTGAAGGAAACCACTATCATGAATTTAGGATGGAACCAGTCCATGTTTTTATATTTATTGTATGAATACATAAATAACACATGTCAGACTGTAGTACCTTTTTTACAAGCTTATAAATGGTACCTTAATTCAGACCAAAGAAAATTTAGGATTTTAGCTATGGTAACAATACTTTGTTTTGGAAAAAACCTGAGCATTAGAGCATTATTTTTTCCAACTGACAACTCTTAGAATTTAATATCACATCTGGAAAAAATGCTTGCCAAAAAATTTTTTTTAATTAATAAACACTCATCAATCCAAAAGATAAGAAAGGAGAGAAAAGAAACAGGCAGGACAAATTGCCCAAAATAAAATTATAGAAATCTATGTGTATTAGTAATGATAATAAATAAAAATGCACTGGATATTAGTTAAATATTAAAAATTGTCACATTGGATTAGAAAACAAAATCCAGCTATATGTTGTTTATATAAGGGGTAAATC